ATAGATAGATAGATAGATAGATAGATAGATAGATAGATAGATAGATAAAGGATTGAAGGTGTTAATGATTTAATTTTCCTTGAATCAACAATCAACACCCTATCGGCAGCCAAGAAATCAGGATACATATTTCACTGGGCAAGTGTTCTGTAAGAGACCTCTCCAGAATGCTGAAAAACAATGATGTCAGTTTGAAGACTAAGGTGTGCCTGATTCAGCAGGCTATAGTCTTCACAATCACCTGTGACACATCAGAGAGCTGGACAATGAATAAGGATGCCAGAAGAAGAACTGATGTCTTTGAGTGGTGGTGCTGGAGAAGAATACTGAATATCCCATGGACCACAAAAACAACAAACAGGTAACTCTTGAAGAAAGGGCAGTCAGAATGCTTCTTGGAGGCAAGGATGACAAAGCTTTGTCTTTCATACTTTGGATATACAGGTATGTGAAACTATTCTTTGGAAAGGGCCATCATTTTTAGAAAGGTGGATGGTCAGTGAAGGGGAGGAATACCTCAAATAAGATGAATTGACATGGTGACTTTAGCAATTGTCTTGTGTTGCAGATGCTGATGATAGCACACAATAATAGGGCAAGTTTCATGTTTCTATGGTTTGTAGGGTTGTTATGAATCATACTTGACTTGATAGCACCTAACAACATGCTGTGAAATATTACTATGGGTCGATTTAGTCCCATAGTGGTTTTTTGCTACCCATCCTCTTCTACTTAATTATATATTAATAAAAAATGAAATGAAATTAGATGGCCTAGTGACAAAAAGCTGCACTGCAATCCCAAAGGCATGCGGTTTGAGGCCACCAGCCGCTCTGTTGTAAAAGGATGGGCAATCTCCTCCCTTCTGATTAACTGTCTTTGAAAACCCATTGGAGGGTCAGCTATGGGTCGGTTCTGACTCTACGGTACACAACAATAACAATAATAATAGTTCAATAAGGACACACTTCAATATACAACTTTAGTTCTTTTCCCATAGGTAAAAAATTAACTTTTAAAATGTTAAATTTAAGTTATTCCTTTACATTTTATTCTATGCCATTTGAAAATCTTAGATTATTTTTTTGGAAAGCTAGTATAGGTCATTTTCTTAACCTAAATTGTGACACTGTTCACTGTGCTCTTATACACTGACATGTCATTGATACAATATTTTATGTACTTGAGTTGTTGTTGTTATTTGCCTTTGAGTCACCTGCTACCCATAGTGACTATGTACAGCAGCTCTAACGCCTGCTCTGTCACGAGCCAGTCTCACTAATTCTGACACAGCAACCACATTGCCCCAGTTTACTGTATCAATCCATCTCATCTGAGGTCTCCTGCACTGTCCTTCTCTAAGGACTTTTCTCTCCTGCCCACGTGCCCAACGTATGTGAGATAGAGCTTCAAAATCCTAGCCTCCAAGGAGAAATTTGGTTTCACCCTCTCTAAGATAGACCAATTTATTTTCTTGGTGGTCCATGGTATGTAGATCTCCAGCACCACAATTCAAAAGCATCAATTCTTCTTCTGTCATCCTTAGTGATTTTCCAGCTCTCTGGCACATAGTAAGTAATTGGAGACTATGGATTGGATCAGGCACACCTTAATCTCTAGACTGATATTGCTTTTCAGTACTCCCTGACAGCAGATTTTCCCTAGTGTAATTTGTCTTTTGATTCCTGACTGCTGGTGCCAAGAGTGTTGATTGTGGAGCCAAGCAAGCTGTAACTGTTAACAACCTCAATCTCTCCTCCATCTATCATGGTGCTTCCAATTGGCCCAGTGGTGAGACTCTTTGTCTTCTTGATGTTGAGTTTCAATCCATATTGAATGAAGACTACAGTTTTGACCTTTTGCAGCAAGCACTTCAGGTCCTCCTCTGTTTAAGCAAGCAAGGTGTGTCATCTGCATAACATAGGTTGTTGAGGAGTGTACATGGGTTTTATTTCACTGTACTTCACCCACCAAAAAACTACCCTAGTGTTAAATCTGCTTCATGTTCACTCTCACGACTCCATCATGTTTCTGAATGTATATATCTTTACTGGAGGAGTTTGCCTATCTTTCTCCAATTGAGTGACTATTGGATTCCAGTTGGGAATCTCTCAGTTAACCATTCACTAAATTGCACTCTATGTCATCAGGGACTAAAAGAAATGGCTATAAATTTCTTCTAAACATATTTTTACATTCTGCTTATACTTCTATGCAAGAAATCTCAATAACTAACTTACTGACACTGGGCAACCAGGAGCCATTTTAGAAGGTATGACCCCACTTAATAATTCAAAATAGAAATACAATCCTTTTTGTTCCCTGAATTATCCTATTTTCCATATAAATTAGTCAGATATTATTAAAACCAACTTAATAGTTGGAACTGAGTTATAATTGGCTCATCCAATTATATATAAATATATATAATATTATTCTGAGGATTATGATGATTTTATTATGATTTACATAAACAGAAACAGATATCCATCAGTGTTCTGATGGACTAAAAACAATTTTTAAGCTTATTAATGGCAAATATGTATATTTCTTATGCATTCCATTAAGTTCTGGTGGAAAGAAGCTGCACTGCAATTCCGAAGGCATGTGGTTCAAGGCCACTAGCTACTCTGATGGAGAAGGATGAGTGATCTCCTCCTGTGTGAATAACTACCTCTGAAAACTTGCTGGAGGGTCAGCTACAGGTCCATCCCAACTCTATGATATACTACAGCAACAATAACATACATCCCACATGTTGTGACAAATAAAATCCAGAAGACTAAGTTTGAAATTTGCGGAATATATAATGGATATATACATGGTTTGAATCTACCTGCTACTATGTGAAGAAAGATGAGCAATCCTCTCCAGTGTGATTTATTGCCTCTGAAAACCTGCTGGAAGGTCAGCTATGGGTTGGTTCAGACTCAATGGTACACAACAACTGTGTTATGGAGATACTATCATACTACTTATAATTTAGCTTTTCCTGTTTAGGATGTGAATCAAATCTTTATCTCAGGTTGTACGGTATTTCATTTAAGAGAAAATCCCCCTTAATAAGACACTACTCTTACTGTCAAACTGATTTGGCAGAACTGCAAGGAGAAAAGGGCAAACACATCTTGCTCTAATGATATCTACCGCTATTAAATGTTTGTGAAGGTTTTCTCTTGCCTAACTAACGCACAGTTAGCATCTGTTTGCTGTGAGAACTAAACCAACTGGAGTGCTTGAGGCTGTAACTCAGGCAGAGGTGTGAAGGAATAAGAAGACAATTCACCAAAGCACTAACACTCAACACATGCAGATTTACACAGCTGACAGAAAGACAGTCTAAATACACAATATGCCATGGGAGATTTCCTCACATTATTGTATCAACACTTACCTGCCGCATATGGCTTATTAATGTTGGCATTTGCTTTTGTTATTAAATAAGGTTTCAGAGTCATTTGAAATAAGGGGTATTATTTTCCAAAACATGAAGGCAAATGAAGGATTTTTACTGAGTTTCCTTGTCTCATCAGCTCAAAGTCCTCTGTCATTTGTTTCCAGTAAAGCACATTTCACTTTCCTTTTTCTGTATCTTTCTACATTTACCTGCCAGTCTTGACTCTCCACACCCCCCACCCCTTTGCTCCCATCTCTTCTGTGTCTCTTCTCTCTCTTACACATTGCGCCCTCCTGCGACTGGGAGCTTTTATTATTTACGAAAAGAAAGAAAGGCTATGCATTTGCTCCCTTTCACCTCACTGCAATTTTACTCCTGGGTTGAAGGTAGCATATTTCCCTGAGCTCCAACAAAGTAGTTACAATCTTGAACCCACTCACGTTCCCTGCCTCCACTCCGACCCCCAACGAACTTCTCACATTTTTGCTGTTCAGAAAGAACAAGGGGAAACAGCTTGCAGAAAGGCAGCAATTCTTGGAGCTGGGAAGCCTTGGTCACTGCTGCAAGTCTGTCGCTGTCCGATCCTTGGTGCTGAATTCTAAGCTGTTGGAACGCCTGATCCAAATTAAGTTCCTCAGTAGTAGATTGAACTCATCTTCCTCTGGGGGTTTGATATACAGGTTTACTTGCTCTTTTTCCGTAACATCTAGTTCTTCTACAAAGATTCATTGGACATTTCATGACAAAATAATGACACAGCATCAGTTCAACACATACGTGAAAAGCCCTACTGAGAAAAAAGGGAAAGTTTAGCCTTAATGATTACTCCTCCCCTTAGTTTTTGATACAATTGGAGCTTTAGACCCTTGTATTGATTAGTAACACAAATGTTTCTCTGCTTAAGAAATATGTATTAATTATTTTTAGGTGCCTGCTGTAAACACATTCTCACACCTGAAATTAAATTTATTGTTTTACCAAGAGTGACAAATAGAACAAAAAAGAAAGTAAAATTGTAAACTAAAGTGGTTTAGTTAAAAACATAAATGTTAAAAGTATTGTTTTTAATTTTGCCTGGAGATGCACTCATCGTCTTAGGTGGTTAAGGTAAGGTCTTGTCATAGTAGCTTCCTTCCCTCATTGTGCCCTCCCAGCCTCTAACTGAGAGATCTAAGATCCTCATTCTAATGCCTAGAAGATCATTATATAAGCCTCTATTCTTCCGCCCCCCCACACGTAAGAGTGGGAGAATCAAATAAAAATAAAGAAGGAGGGAAAAGAGAAGGATAGTGTCCTGCATTCTCAGTCTTTGGTGCTCAGTAGTCAGATTCAAGCGGGGCACTTTGAGAAGTAAAGATGTTTCTGATGGCTACAGAATTTAAGGGCAACAGAAGCAGGAGCCAACTTAACCTATGCCAGAAAACGGTTCTTTCCTTTTCTTAATCCCTGGCTGCTTATTTTAGCCACTTCTCCATCCCGCCGGGAATACCATACAGATCTTAGTCCAGGTAGATCTGACGTCAAGAGATGGCTTTCGTCGATTTGACGTGTAAACACTCATTTCCATTCTAGCTTGCAAGGGCTGGGGCTCCACTCAGCCAGAGACCAAAGCGCTGCACTGAGCGCTTACCGCCGCCCAGCCTCTCCTCGCGCGCCTCCTATCTCATCTCAAAGCAACCGGCATCGAGAAGTGGTGTAGAGCCCTGGGGTGAGAAGGGCGAGTCTTCCTGGCATTTCTCCTACCTTGCCTCTCTTCTATCTTTGCCTCCCACTTGTTTGCCACCCAGTGAGTGAACCATGGAGCCCAGAGCCTGGACTCTGCCAGGCACTGTTTTCACCTTCTTTGGCGCTTGGTGTCTCTTGAACAACGTGGGAGCGAAAAGGCAATTTGTCAATGAATGGGCAGCGGAGATCTCTGGGGGACCAGAGGCAGCCTCGGCTGTCGCTGAGGAGCTGGGCTATGACCTTTTGGGTCAGGTAAGAGTTTGCGCTTTCAAGAAACTTTCTGGGACCCGAAGGGGACTGGTGGGGATAAAGTGCAGTCTCCCAGGTGAGAGTCCCAGGTTGCACTTCCCTGCTTTCAGTGGGATAGAGACCAGAGAGATAGAGAGAGCTTCAGCTCTCTCCCAAGGCACACTTGGAGAGAAAGCGAGCTTGCTTTATTTACAGTTTGGACAGGGAGCATTCAGGCAGAAGGAAGCCGCTGCAGCTGGGTAGAGCTTATTCTTGGCTTTGTCTGCTCTAGAATTGCATGAAATCTGTTCCCGCGCGGTGTAGGATAGATCTCTCTGGGCTTGTTCAGGGAACTTGAGATGCTCACAGCTCTCTCTACCCAAGCACACCCCTCCCCCTGCGAGAGGCGGTGCGCTCCGTTCCCCCGGACTCATTTGGTCTGCGTCAGGAGCCGGCTGCTTTCTTCTTTTCAATATGGCAGCATCAGATCTAAGTCCTGATCCAGGCAGCCTTGGGGATGTCCGTGGATAGCTTTTGGAGGCAAGCCCAGGACATTTGGAGAGCGCTGGATAGCATAATTTACGCCTGTGACACTGGGAGCCTGTCCAGTGGCCTGGGGAGCCAGCGGGAGTGGAAGTGGTTGAAACACAGGGGGCCAATTCTCCACCCCTTTCCTTGAGGCTCTCTGGGAATTTCACAGGTAACTTGTAAAGTCCAGGTTTCACAACTTTGCTTGACCAGTTCCCTTGCAGGATAGATAGCACAAACTGACTGCGGAATGGGATCTGTTATTTCTTTTGTTTCTTATTTAAGTACAAAACCCCTTTCCAAGGGTTTTCAGCTTGTGCTAGAAACTGTTATCTCTCTATCCAAATGGGGGCTGGGTTAATACAGCTTTTGCAAGGTGCTGTGCGAAGGAAGTAGAAGGGGCTGGTTAGCTGAACAACGTTAAAGCAACACCAGGGGCTGGGAGATCAAAGGGTAGCTTTTCCTTTCCTTGGCTTAGAACCAAACTCCACCCTTTGCCTTGGAAGTTGTGCGTCTAAGCGGGGGAGAAGGAGGGAGTTGTAAAACATTTTGGCGCGGGTTTTTTTTTTTCCTTCTGGAGGAGGTGGTGGAGACGCAGCTGAAGTCACATATGAGTAATCCGTGTGGGCGTTGGCGATTCCATAAATCGAATCCACCAGGGAATACGCTTTCCCTTGCCAGAGGCTTCATTCTCCAACTTTATGAGCCAAGCTATCTTTGAAATGCCCAGCAGGAAATCCAGTACACAGCTTGACTCTCTGGTGTTCTAGGCAGGGAGCGGGTTTTTGTACAGGCCTTTATCAGTCCCTGGTTTGGTTCAGGGGCTGAAGAATAAGTCAAGGTCTAGAAACACCATTAAGGAGTCAAGTTTCTAGAAAAGTCTGGTTTAGAAACAATGATGCAACTTGTATAGTAATAGAAGTTGTACCAGGGGCTTCTCATTTTTTTGATTGAAGGAACCTACAGGAAAGAGAATTGAGCAGAGGTGAAAACAAGAGAAATATGTGCACATTGTTTAGGAAAAAAAAGGGGCAAGAATTGCCAAAACAACATAGAGAGATTGGAAGATGGTTCATCCAGGGATAGAGAAGTGTTTGGGGGAAAGATAGCTATACACAAAGGGAGTGTGGTTAATAGTCTTGTTGTGCACATCGAATGGAAAGCCACTCTTTGCTGACCCTCCAGGAAGTTTTCAGAGGCAGTGAATCCATTGGGAGGAGATTGTCCATCTTTCTCCCACAGAGCAGTTGGTGGATTTGAACCACTTGCCTTTGGATTAGCAACGCTGCTCCTTACCACTAGACCATCCGAAAATAATTGTTGGGAATTGTTACTACTTGAAGTGAAAATGCCTTTGAGTGTTGGAAAAGAGTACTAATTATCTCGTGGACTGCCGAAAGAACAAACAGATGTGTCTTGTAAAAGATGCAGCCAGAGTGCTCCTCAGAGGCAAAACTAACAAAGTTGGTCTCACATCCTATGCCTTGGACAGTATGCTTGGAAAAGTGGAGTGTCAGCAAAAGAGGAAGACCCAGATCCAGATGGAATGACATAGTGACTGTAGCAGTAGGCTCGAGTCCATCAGAGATTATGAGGATGGCACAGGATAGAGCAGGAGTCAGATTTGTTGTTCATAAGGTCTCTCTGGGTCCTACTTGACTCGACAGCACTTAATAACAGCAATAATAAAAACAACAATTGGAGAATGAGTAACAGATGAGTTAATACTATTTGTGGATATGGTGAGCAACAAGGAAGCCTTGTGTGTTCTATGGGGAAAATCAGGAGCGTAATGCTTCATCCCTTTTGTAAGTATAGAAAGACTAAATGAACTGGTAACTATGAAAGAGGATTGGAGAAAAACACAAAACAATAAATTCTACCTTCTCACCTAGTAGTTCAGATTCACATCCAAAGCTGGACTACTCCATTTACGAATTATTCTTCAAAAGAAACATACGTCTCAAAAATTAAAAAAAAGCAAAACCAAACCAATATGAATCTGTATTATTGCTGAGATTTTTGGAGAAAAGATAAAATAGTCACAAGAATCTTACTAAAAAGGTAGGAGAGAGGGATCTATATTTGCATATAATAATTTTTATTTTATTTTGTTTTATTTTTATTTTTCTTTAACCATTTTTTGGCTACAATGGTATTAAAATAGCTCACACTGAAACTGAAACTCCTAACTGTTGAATTGGAACTGACTCTCTAAGTGGGTCCCATGGCTATAAATCAGATGGGAGAAGATTGTCCAACTTTCTCCCAGGAAGCCGGAAGTAGGTTTGAATTTCCAGAGGTAAGTGCAGGCCTTGGGTTAGCAGCTAAACTCCTCAGTTTGTTGTTGTTGTTGTAAGGTGCCCTACCAACTACCAGGGAGCTCTGCTGCAATCCTGAAGACGTGCAGTTTGAGTCTGCCAACTGCTCCTCAGGCAAAGGATGAACAATCTCCTCCTGTGCAATTAACGGCTTCCCAAAACTTAGTGGAGAGTTAGCTGTGAGTCAGTTCTGACTTGATGGCACACCACCACCACCACCACAACTATCTATATGTCTATCAGTTTGGTGCCAGCAGTAAGGAGATCAGGAGGCATATTGCACTGGGAAAGTCTCCAGTCAGGAGCCATTCCAAATTACTGAGGAGCAATGATGTCATTTTCAGGATGAAGGTGTGCCTGATTCAGACCATGATCTTTTCAATCACTTGTTATGCATCTATCTGAGAGCTGGACAATGAATAAAGATGACAGAAGAAAAATTGATGCCTTTGAGTTGTATTGCTGGAGAAAAGTATTGCACATCCCGTGGACTGCCAAAAGACAGCCAGAGTACTCTTTGGAGGCAAAGATGACAAAAATTGATCTTGTATGCTTTTGGCATGTTTCTAGGAGAGGTTATTCCTAAGAGTGGGACACCATGCTTGGGAACATGGAGGGTAAGCAAAAGGGAGGAAGACCCTCAACCTGAAGGACTGACATAGTGACTGCTGCACTGGGACCAAGAATGTCAGAAGTGATAAGGATAACAGAGGATAGGACAGGGTTCAGATCTGTTGTTCATAGGGTTGCTACGTATCGTACTCAACTTGACAACACCTAATAACAAAACGTTAT